TTTTTTTTTTAGGACGTGCGATATTAAGTAGGCACATTAACTCAAACACGTCATGTTACAATTATTTTGCTGCTTGCTACAAAAGGAAAACTTGCACGGCTCTCATGTCAGGGGTAAACCACCAATCACAATCATTCTGGATCAGATCACAGCAGGCCCCGCCCCGCTAGTTTGCAGACCATCAAAACACCGGTAACAAATGAGCGAGGCACAGGAGGACAATACCGGAGAGAATGAAGATTTACTTCCAGAAATAAAAGCAACATCTGCCATCTGGAACTATTTTGGATACAAAAAGGTTCTTCTCTTCTTCACAGATGAACCCCCTTATTTGAGGGTAAGCAACATGCATTATCATGACATGTTAGATCATGACTTAAGGTATGATCAGTCAACCAGTTAAGATCCAGACGTCCGTGACTGAAATCCTTCATCCGGTTAAATATAGTTAAAAAAAACGCAATATATATCGCAATGTCATTTTTTTTCAATATCGTGCAGCCCTATAACATACCGTGGTTTAGCTAAAAAGGCTGGTTCTGATCCCAATGAATTAATGCTCCGATCTATTTATTTGGTATTAAAGATCTGTTTGTTCATGTACCATGCACTAAGATGTTTTGTCTCTTAGGTGTCTCTTTTCAATGTGGAGAAATAGTGGTTTGAGTCCAAGGTATTTTCAGATCACTGAACCTACCCCATCATGGATAAAGATCCAGGCCACCCTACAGCGAAACCCAATTTCATCTTCTTTGACTCGTGATCTTTTTCTCATGGTCACTACCCCAAAGCTTCTGGGTATAGATGAAAGTCAGAACAAAGCTTTTTTTGTATCGGTGTATTTTCCACCAACGTCTGATTCAGAGACAGTATGTGACTAGTAGAAAGAAATAGTCTGAAAATAAGTTTTCTACCGCACTTACGTCTTGAATGGTTGAAAGGTTGACTCAGAGCAGCACATCAATTGTGACAACGCCATGGTCTAACCGCGCATGTAATTGAAACAATCGATTGCAATTTCATGAACACAAATGTGCATAAAGCACAGAACCGGTAAAGTGAGCTTCTATCGGTTGAGTGATCAGAACTGCACGCCTATCAATCTCCCCGTCTCCTCTCCAGGCTTGTTTATTGTTTTCCTGTTGAATACTGGATAGGGAGGCATTGCGCAGGTCTTCTATCATCTCAAGGAGAAGCATTTGCTATGCTCTGCCCAAGGATCTCACTTCAACAGGACAAAAGGTTACCAACTCAGAAAATGTCCTCCATCAGTTGTTGAAATGAACCTTGGAGGAAAATATGGCGTGTGTGTTAAGTAGGCCTTATAAAACCACCAGATCGAAGCAAGGAGCCTATCAAAATGATTTTTTACCTGAAGCCTTTGAGTTTCACAATTTTACAAACATCATAATGCACAAATGCTGATCAGGATCTCTCTTCAACAGCAACTAAATCTCTGGGTTGTCTTCTTCAAGGAAGCATAAATGCATAAACCACAGTTTGTCTTCTCGCACCCAAGGCGGTTAGCATGTTTCATAATCTACAGTAGTTTCCTAACACTCTGCATGTTGTTAATGAACTACCTTATTACTGTAAACTGTAGGTTTGAATATATTGAATATAAGACGACCCTTGTGCATTTCTCAGGACTTTCTTTTGCCTTTTTGAGCTTCTCATCGTGTGCATGGGTTGGTGTATAACTGATCCCAGATACCATTATATCAGCGTTGTACTAACTTTAGTGTTTACCTTTCTGTGCCACACACATTGGTTCATTGTCATTCAAAAACATTTTCATTTAATATTAAACATACATTTAAAATACCTACAGACTTGTAATGTAGCTGCATATCAAAGTAACCCAAAAGTGGGTCGCGGACCCGTTTCAAGTGGGTCGCAGATGTGTGAGTGAAGAAAAAAAAAAAAAAACTTTTATTTTTTTTTTGTTGAAAAAAATCAAACTTATATTTTTAAGTCCCGATTTTCTAATGCTGTGCATGCAGTAGGCGTTGGACTGGAAGTACCGGAGACCATAAACGGTTTTGAAAACTTCTGTCACGTAGTGATCATCTTCTCAATAAAACATCTTTGCTGATGTTTTTCGAGTCTTCTGGCCAATCAGAATCAAGATTGTTGACGGAAGTCCCCATGGATAATAACTTTGCGGTAGAACTATTCTTTATAGCAGTGGTTCTCAACTGATCCGGCTTCGGGACCCACTTTTTCCTTTTGTCAATAGATCGCGACCCAAAATGTTGAACCACTCAAATCTATTCAAAAGAAATCGTGCAGTAATATACATTATTAATTAAAGTGAAGTAAAGTGCATATATACATTATATCCCTTCACAGAACTAAAGTATGCTTTTAAATAAGGTTTAATGACAGCAAGTTCAGCTGTCAGAACAAAGTGAAAAACAAACAATGGCATACAATGTTATTAATATGCCGGGTAGTAATAGATTTATTTATTTTCTTCTCAGAGTGTACCAGAATGCGTAGTTTATATATTAGTATTTCAAAAAATCTCCTGGGGGAAAATCCCCCCAGACCCCCCTGCTGGGGTTGGGTTTTCAGCATGTGTGCCTTTTTATGTTATACAGTTCAGCTTTGATTCCATCATCTCATAAACCTTTTTTAAAAGCATACTTTAGTTCTGTGAAGGGATATATGCACTGTACCTCACTTTTATTAATATTGTATGCTGAAAAGCGTATATATCAAAGCACGATTTTTTGTTGAATAAAGTGGTTCAAAATTTCGGGTCGCGATCTATTGACAAAGGAAAAAGTGGGTCCTGAGGCCTGACCAGTTGAGAACCACTGATCTACATTATACTGTCTGATTACCATTATGCTGTAAATATAATAATCTCTAATCTAATGTTTTTTTATTATATTTTCTCTTGCTTGCTCTTCTTCCTATATTTTCTATTGCTTGCTTGTATGTCTTACCCTCTCCCTCTGGTGGTAAATTAGATGGGAATAGGTAATGAGAACATTTCATGCTGTATAAGCGTCAGTTACAATGACAATTAACGTCCATTGTCTTTTGGATCAGCTAAATATTAAGCATCAGGCAGACGTATCTCTGTGTATGAAATCACATTAATCAACATTGGGGGCCACCTGCTTATCACACGAATGT